GTGCAACCCTGAGTTACCCAGCAATACTGCACCCTGGTTGAGGAGCGGTCCCATTTAGCCAGATCCTTATAGTTATAGAACGTTGTAAGCATGAAGTTGTTACGACTAGCAACTTGGAAAGAAACCCACAGCTTCGACTCCATTTCCGCCTTGGCTTCATTTTCAGCTGTCAGCTTCGCTTCGAGCTCATCAACCAGTTGCCTTTGACCCTTGGAAGCTTCCTTAAATCATAGTGTAAGTTGTTTTCTAATAATGTACAGTCTTGTTCGCTGTTGGGGCAAGCCACGAGGGGGAGGGTTAGCCACGGCTCAGGCGCTTCCTCCACCACCAGTGAAAGCTAGCAAGCGGCAACAATAGAAGGAAAACAATCTGGCGTCCCGCCAAACCTAGCCGCAGAAGCTCCAGCAGAAAACAAGACTGTAGATTCGTTTAGCCATTCATTATACTTAAAGAAGGTATTAATTTCAGACCAGAAAGACTCACTAGAGCTGCCACTTCACTTTTCTGATGGCGTTCGACGACGAGATCATGACGCTGCTCAGCTTTTTTGAGCTCTTCTCGCAGCAACTCCACCTAGAAATTCAAAACTAACGAGGACAACTGGCACAGACCTGGAGGTGGCGAAGATTCCTCTGTAGGAGGAATACAGAAGGTAGTTGAAAAAGATAGTTTTGAGTTTTTAATGGGACATATTGAAGGATTTCTATCTATCAGAGCAGTAGTAATCTGATCCTGGGGAGGGGGGGGGATTAACGAATAACTATCCGGTTGTGATGACATCAAGGCCACTTAGTTTCGGAAGATGTTGGCAAACAGATCCTGCGAAGCCTCCTCACAAAAGTTCACAGAAGAAAGATCGAGGTAAACTCGAAATGACCACGACCTCAAGTTGACATATTCAGCACATTCCGGTATTTTATACCGCACGCGCCGCACCGGCAGGTTCACCCCTCCACCCCTCCCACCCTTGGTATGATGACGGCGTTATCGCCGAAAGCTCACCA